AATTTCAAAATTTCCTTCATGAAGCCTGACAGTGATCCTTCCATGTTTTTTCTCCTTTGTTGTTGACCATACGATTCCCGGCAGCCTGAAACATCTCATTCATTTGAGCAGGGATGGCTGTAGTTGGAAAATCTGTATCTGGAGGCTTTATTCCATTTAATAAACCCCTCACCACTCTTCCTGCTATTCTTAACTAATGATTTTCTTTGACAAGTAATTCTGTCAGACTCTTTAATCCTTCTGTGAAAAGTGACTGAAATTCTGGGGACTGCAACTTTTGCATTTTGTAAATGAATACTGCTTCAGAAGGCACAGTCTTCTGCAACTACAGCTCAGTGAGGGCCTATGCCAGGGATGCATGCACCTCAGCATCTCTTCCCTAAAAAAAAAAAAAAAGTTCTTTCTTACTGTGTTTTCAGAGAACTCTTACACATTTAAGAATTTCTATACAAATTGTTCAGTGACATCAATTACATTTTTTGCAGTATGTCAAATAGTTCTCATTATTTCTGCTCTGGTTGCTCTATTTTCACTAATCTAGTTTCCCTGTGCCCCCCCTTACCCTCTCATCTTTGCTTTAGAGTAAATGTTGATCACTATATAGATCACTCATATAGATGACTTGGTCTCATATAGATGACTTTTTTAAAAGAGCACAGTTCTCACAGGTGATATTGTTTATTTTATGAGCCAATCTGTTAATTTAGCTAAGTGGTGACCTCTAGGAGTAGTTTCAGTTCAAAGTTTAAAGGGTCCCTCAGGGTGATAGTCTTGGGGATTTCTCTAGTTTCAACCAGGCCAGTAAGTGTGGACTTTTTCAGATTTTGACTTTTCTACCTTTTCCTCCTATTACCAGGGTCCATCTATTGTGTCCCTGATCAGAATGGTTGATAGTGGTAGCCAGGCACCATCTAGTTCTTCTGGTCTCAGGATAGATGAGGCCATGGTTCCTGTAGGTCATTAGTCCTAAGGACTAGTTTCTTCTTTGAGTCTTTGATTTCCTTCTTTTTCTTTTGCCCCAGACAAGTAGAGAACATTAGTTATATCTTACTTAGATGACCACTTGCAAGCTTTTAAGACCCCAGACACTACTCAGCAAACTAGAATGTAGAACATAATCTTTATGAACTATATTATGCCAATTGACGGAGTTGTCCCACGAGACTATGATCCTAAGACTTTCAACCCAGTAAGTCAATCCCGTAATGTATTTGGTCATGTCTAAGAAATATCCATAACTGTGCCCCTATGAATATATATGTAACACACACATACACATATATACACATGTCTATAGATACACCTATATGTACTCACATATATACACACATATATTTACCTGTGCATACCTACATATGTGACCACACACATATTTTGTGGTTGTTGCTGTTGTTTCAAAATTGTATATGTTACAGCATTTACCAAAAAGGTCCCTTATTCTTATGTACATCCTAGTAACATCATTTGCCTTGCTCAAGTTGTGCACACTTTACCCACATTTGGTGTTACCTATCTTATCACCAAATAAGGCATTTGACTGCTAACCAGAAGGTTGGTGGTTCAAACCCACCAGCTGCTCCACAGAAATAAGATGGGGCAATCTACTTCCGTAAAGATTTACCACCTTGGAAACCCAATGGGGATCTCTGTGAGTTGGAATCAACTCAGTGGCAGTGGGTTTGGTTTTTTGGTATCTAGAGAGTGATCCCTCCTCCTTCCCCTTCTTTTCTCTGAACTACCAATGAACATGGTTTCTGTATGTATATCTATTCTTGTACTTTTATAAAAATCAAATCATCCAGTATTTGTCCTTTTGTGATTGACTTATTTCACTCAGCATAATGCCCTCCAGATTCATCCATGTTATATATTTTGAGAACTCATCATTATTCTTTATGGCTGCATAGTATTCCTTCTGTTGATGGGCACTTAGGTTGTTTCCATCATTTTTACCTTTTTAATTTATAAGTTCTGTTTATATACTAAGATACATAATGTGTAGCTAAATGTTGTAAAACTTTCCCCATTTTAAAAATTTGCCTTTTATATTGTTTTTTGAGGTACAGGAGTTGTAAATTTCTATGTAGTCAAACATCAGTCTTTTCCTTAATGGTCTCTTTCTGTTTTTATGCTCACATCCAAAGATACTTCTAAAACACAAACATGGTCATACTCTTCCTTTGATTAAAATCCTTCCAGGGCTCATGGGTGCCCCAACCCCCTCCTGGCTTTCTAGCCCCAGCCTACTGTCGCCCCATAAGTACTTGAGGTTCTAGTCACCCAAGCCACTTGCACTTAAGGACTCGGTACACAGGTCCACCTCCTTGGAAAGCCAGTCCTCCGCCAGCTTACACAGCCCACACCCAAACACTAAGTCAAGTGCAAAATGGCTGGTATGAGAATTGACTCTTAGGACCAATTTAAGATCAGAAGATTAGACCAAGTTGCTGGGGACTGAAACTCAGCTATGAGCAATCCATAGAATTGAGGGCCAGGCCCCCAGGCAGAGTGCTCTAAAGGGATGGAATGGAGCGTCTGGGGGCTGAGCAGCCAGCAAAAGGGAGAAGGCCCTGTCAGATGGGAAGCATGGTGGCTGGGGACTCAGGGCCTGGACGAGGTTTCTCAGAAGGTGAAGGGCAACATCAGGGAAGGGCTACGTCAGGTAAGGGCTTAGTTCTGAAAGCAACAGGCAATAGCCACCTGAGGTCCCAAACTGGAAAACAGATCTTACCAAACCAGAACTGCCTTCCACCCCTACCCCTACTCCCAGCAGTCTTCCCCCTACCAGTAAATGGCATTGATGGCTTTCTGGTTTCCCAGGCCAGAAACTGAACTTGCTTAACTCCTCCTCTGAGTCACTTGATTCCTCTTCCTCCCACACCCCACATCCCATCTGTCGGGGAGTCCTGTTGGCTCTTCCTTCAAAATACAGCCAGACCACATACTGCATGATCCCATTTGTATGTCATTCTGGAAAAGGCAAAACTGCAGGGATAGAAGTCAGATCTGTTGCCAGAGGCTGTGCAAGGGGTGACTACAAAGGGTCCTGAAGGAATTTCGGGGCTGAGGGAGCTCTCCTATGCCTTGAGTGTGGTAATGGTTACACAGCTGTATGTGTTTATCAAGACTCAAACCTTAATAAAAACATGGGAAAAAATATACCCAGAATTCAACCATTTCTCACAATCTGCACTGCTATCACCCTTGTTCAAGCTGCCATCATAATCTTGGCCTCTGATTTCAATGGACTCTTCACTGTTTCCCTGTTCATGCCCTTGCTTCACTGTAGTCTGTTCCCCGCACAGTAGCCAGAGTGGTTGTTAAAAAATAAATAAATAAAAATTTAGATTTTGTTATTCCTTTGCTCAGAATTCTCCAGATGTTTTGCTTCTTCTCAGAGTAAAAGACAAAATTCTTACCTGCTCACCACCACACTATGTGAAACAGCCTTCTAATTGTTTCTCTGGCCTTACCTCCACCTAATGCCTGCCACGCTCCCCTCCCCACCATTCACTTTACTGCAGGTACAACTGCCATCTTGTTCTTCCTTGAACAGGCAACGCTCCTTCTCCTCTGAGGAAAAGGCAAAGTTCTCATCACAACTGCCAAGACTTCCATGACACCATTCCCTCTCTGGTGATCTCCTGATGCTCCCCACTTCCCAGCTGCTCTACTCCTGCCCCAACAGCCTCTTTGCTCTTCCTAGGACATGCATTGCATGTTCCCTTCCTGGGGTTCCCTGTTTAGAATGCTCTTCCTCCGGATTCCCTTCTCTCATCTCTTTTAGGTCTGCTCAGATAGCATCTTCTCAGCAAGGTCTTCGCTGAGCACTCTGTTCATAATTGCACCCTACCCACCACTACCGCCACACCCCCACTCACTCTCCTTTCTCCTTGTTTTATTTTTCTCACATCTCCCTGTCTCCACCTGCCCTTCCGTATATTTTAGTGATTGAACTTGTTGTCCGATTCCTCCTCAGACCCATGAAAACAAGAGCTTTTCTTTTATTTGCTGCTAACCCTCCAGTGACGTCCCTGGGTGGTACAAACAGTTAACGTGCTCAGCTGCTAAGTGAAAGGCTGGTGGCTTGAGTCCACCCCGAGGTGCCCTGGGAAAAAGCCCTGGTGACCTACTAATGAAAAATCAGCCATGGAGAACCCAGTGGAGGGCAGTTTGACTTTGTCACACATGAGGTCACCATGAGTCAAAATCAACTTGATGGCAACTGGCACCTCTCCAGCACTTAGTATATTATTTGCTTGGCAAATAATAGGGAGCTCTGGTGGCATAGTGTCTACAACATTTGACTACTAACCAGAAGGCTGGTGGTTCAAACCCATCGGCCACTCCTCGGAAGGAAGATGGGGCAATCTACCTCCATAGAGATAATGCCTCAGAAACCCAACAAGGGGTTGCTATGAGTCACAATCGACTCAGTGGCAGTGAGTTTGGTTTTTTGGACTTGGCAAATAATAAACCAAAAAACAAAATCCATTACCATCAAGTCGATTCTGACTGCTAGTGACCCTACAGGACAGAGCAGAACCACCCCATGGGGCTTCCACTGCTGTAAAGCTTTGCAGAAGCGGGCTGCCTCATCTTTCTCCCATGGAATGGCTAGTGGGTTTGAACCACCAACCCTTTGGCTAGCAGCTGAATGCTTTAACTACTAAACCACCAGAGCTCCTTTGGCAAATAATAGTTAAATTTTATAGATGGAAGAAAGGAAGGGAAAAAGGAAAGGGCTCCAAGAACCAGCAGTGACAGTAATCTTACATATCAACATCCCGCTGCCCCAGAATTTCCCTCAATTGCTTACCATAGATGGTCTTTGAAGATGTGAAATGTTGTACAGGTCTATGTTTATAGGAACAGGTGTGCACGTGCACACTCCTAAAACTGTTTCTGAGGAGCGGCTCTCCTTCCTGCCTTTCCGTTTCGTTTTGCTGTTACCTCATATTGCTAAGTTAACAGACACCTTCTCTCAAATCTCTCTCTAGAAGCAGATGTTCCAGGAGAGGAGTAGCCGGATGCTGCAGGCCTTATCCCCGAAGCAGAGCCCTATGAGCAGCCCAACCAGGAGCCGTTCCCCTTCCCGCTCTCCGTCACCCACTTTCCCATGGCTCCCGAACAAAACTTCACCCCCCTCCTCACCCAAAGCAGCCTCAGCCTCCATCAGCAGCATGAGCGAGGGGGACGAGGATGAGAAGTAAAGGCTGCTGGTGGATGACAAGAGCCACACCACACAGGGTGGGGAGGAGGGTGAGGTTATGCGGGATGCCTGAGTGGTGTTGGGAAGGTTATCGTCACAGAAGCTGCAGCTTGGCAGGGAGACCCTGACCTCTCTGGTAAGGCAAGGTCTTGGGACCTGTTCTCCCTCAGTCTCCACACAACCCAAGACTTGGGCTCAGCATAGAGTTGCAGCTGGACAGCTACACAAACCTTAGCATCATCTAGAATCACTCTACTTTAACCTTATTAAGAAAAGAAGCAGACTGCCATAGAGAGACATTCACTGAATAGGGTGTTCTCTGCTTTGGTCTTTATATCCATCCACACCAAGCAGACCAGCAGTGGAAGCGGCTGTTCCCTCAATCTGCTACTTCAGGCTACATAAGGGCCCTGCACGTTGCCTCCCACCACCCCAGCTGCCAGAATAAAGTTGTTTCTATTACAGGTGGCAAAGTGCTTCTGAAATAGTCAAGTTAAAGACAAATGCCAGCCTTCTCAGTACAGCCACTGAGACCTGATGTCGCAACGCATTGACTCTTTCCAATTCCAGGAATGTCGCTCGTAGAAGGCAGCCTTGCTTTAGGCCAGATATAAAAGGCCATCTAGTGTGAAGCTTAACTTCTTATTCACAAAACTTTTATCAAGGAGGACTCCATGTAAGGCCTAATGTGCTCCTGGTTGTACTTTTTTATCGTGGGTTTGACGTCACTGTTTGCCAGAAATTTATCTGTGGGAAATGCAACAAAGAAAAAAAAGAATCCTCTATATAGTTTAAAAATGGGAGCTGCTTTGCTTTGGCTCCAAGTTTGGTCGACGGTAAATGTCTCCTGAAGCTACTTCTTAAAGGATGCTATTATGGGATGGCTTTTCCCATTTCTGACCACTTAACAGTTTCATAGACCTCAAGTAACAGTTTGGCATACCAAGCCACATAGATACCAATAGGGGGTGCTACCTGCACGTATTTGTTCTATGTATGCTCCAAACTTGCCATCCGGGATGTATACTATATGCAATATGAACATATGGTGATGGCATTTTAGCATATCCTCCTCTCCTGCTCTCCACCTGGTTCCCTTGTGACTTGGGCACTTTGTCAAAAGCTCATCCTGGATTCCCGTAGAAATGTTTTGTCCCAACCAGGAAATTAATATGTTGTTCTCATGGCTTCACCATTACACTTGTGGGTGAAGGGAGACTCTGATGAGTTTTATGTAGAACTGTGAGAGCCTCAGTTACGATCTCAGCATTTGAAAGGTCTAGGTAGTTCTTCCCTGGCCCCAGGTCTGCCAAATGGGCTGAAGCATTCCTGTTGAGTTTGTTTCTTTTTTCCCCGAAGTTGCTGCTCCTTAATCACATGTGGGAAATGAGCAAGTCTTTCTTTTCACGTGAGTTAAGGTTTAGAACCCAATTCTTGGGTAGAAATAGGCATTTCCTGGCTATCCCATTAAAGCCAGAGACAGAGCTGGGGCCTGACTCAGCAGAGGCCCAAACCACCAACTTGCAGGCAGAGCCCAGCATCTGTTGTGAGAACGCCTCCCTTTTCAGAGCCTTGGGAACCAATCACCTAAGGTGACAAGAGAGGCAACCAATGAAGGAAGGTGGCATGTCTTTCCCCCTCGTGTTGGGGTTGAACTACCTCCCTGCCCACCTGGAGATGAGTGGTGTTTGTTGGGAAGTAAAACGATGAGGCTAAGTTGGCTTGTAACCCCCTTGTTCCTGGCACTTTCTCTCCGGAACTCTGTATAGCATTTGTGCAGGGCAGAGGACTGGCAGGAACATGGCATGTGAGAGGAAACTTCTTTTGCAGTCAAGGCCCAGAACGTTGCTCTGCAGAGAGAGGCAAGAACCCCACCCTTCCATTGTGCCCCTTTGGTCTCTGTCTTCTGTCATGCACCCAGGATGAATGGGCGCTTGCACTTCCCATTGCAACTGGTTTGCACTTGTAGCAGTAAAAGGATGAGGAAACCAGTAAAACAATGGAATATGGTGAGAACAAAGGAAGAGAAAAGGGAAAAAAAAAAAAAAAAAAGAGGTGCCTGGAGAGATAAAAGGGGAAAAAATAAATCTCTCTTAATCCAGTTCAGGACTTATTCACTTTGTAGATGAAACTCTCTTGGGGAGGCCTTTTAGGCCCTTACTCCATGGTCCAGTGCAGACAGATCCACTTTTACCTGAATTTTGCTCTGGAGCAAATAGTGTAGGGTTGATGTATCAGGCTGATTAAATAAATATTTGCAGGCCTTACACACCATACTGACAGGTGCCACCTACATGATGCATCAGATTAAGTGCCACCACAGCTGCCAGTTATGGGAAATGACTAATGCCTGGGATAGTCCAAAGATGGGCTAAAACAACCCACAAGTGGGTTCTCGGTCTCACCCTGCATTCCCTCCTACCCAAGTTTTGGTACTTTTTGATCATCTCCCAGTTTCTCAGAGCCCCTAACTCTCCTGCTCCCAGGAGGAGATAGGATTGCTGTTTGTTTGGGTTGGCCGATCAATTGTAATCGTCAAGAGTTAGGTAAGGCTGGAATGGGAGAGTTAGAAAGTATAATACAAGCTTGGAGAGGTAAACGGGAATGAAGGGAAGCAAGGAAAGAACTTCTGCTGTGGAAAGGGAAGGAAGCTTCAGACTGAGGAGGGATAGTGGACAGCAATTTAGGATTGTGGAATGGACAGATAATGAGGATGGGAGAAAACGGGGCTGAAGCAGAGTGGGCTGTGGGTGAGTAGCTATTTTCTGCTCCCTTTGAAGTTACAGGGCTAATAAGGAAATGTTCCTATCACATATATCCAAGGTTAGGGGTTGGGGATGCAGGATTGGCTCCTTGCCTCTCTAGCTTCCTCATTTCAGCACTTCAGCGTTAGCTGCCACGTACTCCTTAGGGGGACCCTGAAATCAACTGTTCATTCCTCTACCAGCTAAGAAATGAGGGTGGCATTGGAATGTCATAGTCACATTAAATGCCGTTTCTGGCAAGGCTCCCCTGCTGGGACCTTCCAAAGGCCAAGGAAAGCCAACCTCAAGAGGACCAAGACACAAGTCTGGCTTTTGCCTTGCTCTGGATAGAAGGGACCCAGCTGGGGCAGTCAACTCCGGCTCCATGCCTTAGGCTAGTGATTACTGCAACTCTATCCTTTGAGGGAGGGACAGCAGGAGCGCAGGTTTATTTTCTGTCTGTTTGCAGGACTTATTTCAGCACCCACTCATATCCCAGAGAGAGATGTGTGATGGCGTCACTAGCTCAGCTGAGATGTCCCCGTGTCTCAGGCATCCATTCATCACTAGTCTTGGCTGTCAGATCTTGGAAGAATTAGCTCATGAGGCATTTGCAACTTATACTACTCTTCTAGACTTGAGGTTTTTTTTTTTTTTTTTTTTTTTGTTATTGTTGTGTTACTGCAATGTGTCCAGGGACAAAGCCATAAGAAGTGCATATATCCATAGGGATATGCTGTACATATAAGACAAGTATACAACGATGTGTCTGGGTTAAAGCACGACCTTATAGCCAAGCATTTGCTCTGGTGCTGAATAATGCAAACACGGAATCAGCCCCCCCACTCCAATCCCACTCCTGCTCTCAAACGAACATTCCTGACCTGTTTATAAATAAAGGGATGCAGAATTGCACTTTTGCTTGTCATGTTTCTTCAAAGTGTGCTTCTGTGTGTTCCTATTTATAAGCTCTAGCTCCGTGGAAAACTACAGACACTGTAGCAGCAGTTTCCGGCCCACTGGCTGTTCCTGCCCATGGCTCTGACAGCTGTGGCCTCCCAGCACTTCTGAAGCACCATGGAGAACTCTGTGCTGTGCAGAACTGCTAAAGTCTTGGAGTTGCCAAAGGACCCATAGGTGAGGTAAAAGCTACTTAGGAATAGCCCCACTGGGGGAGGGGCAGAAGCCATGTGCCAGCCATTCAGGAAACCTGAACTGTAGGCTCTACCAAGAACTTGCTCTGTGACCACTTCACACTCTGGCCTCAGGGCTTGCTTTTGTAAAATGAAGGGCTGAATGGTTTCTGAGTTCTCCTTTGTCTGTGAGGGACTGAATTTATGAGGCAGCCTGCACTGTCCCCAAATATCTCCCAGCCTTGATGCTGTCCGTCACTGAGAAACCAGGACAAGTGCTCAATTCTCTCCAAGGGGGAAGTTAGAGAGATGGTCTCTAGCCCCTTGGAGCAGCTACAACTGATAATATAGGTGGCCAGTTTCATGCCTCAACCTCCACATTCCAAGCATCAAGATAAAAAGGCTCTTGGGTTCTATTCACTTTTCTTCTCCTAACACCTAAGAGAAGGCTTTTCAAATGTACTTAAACTTTGGGAAGGGGCCATTTTGACCACTTTTCCATCCTGGGGAAAAGCTCCTCTGATCAGCTTGGGGCAGAGAGGGAGATGGAGGTGGAGATGCTAAATCAGGGTCCCAAATGTCAACAGTGAAGGCAGCTGTCGATATTCTGAGACCTGTCATGTAGGACCTCCCATGAACTCTATCTGGAGTAGTTTAGCTCTTTGAAATGGTAACAGTTCTGATATTAGCCTAGACTCTAGAAGAAATAGAGCCAGGACTGTAGTCAGCAAGGGAATTAATCTAAAAATGGAGGAAGATACATTACTTGGTTTTGCCACACAAATCAAAGTCATTCTTGACAGGTTGCATTTAGAGTAACAGGGACAGGTTTCTTCTTGACTTCCATGATACCTCAGAAATGTACTCAAGGGACAAACGATCAGCCCCAAAGGTATAATAGAACTTATATTTAAAGACACTGATATTTTCCCCAAAGAGAATTAGCTGTTGTTAATAAACATAACCCCAGAAAAAAAGGGGCATTATCAAATGTGTCTACACACACAGAGTCCTCTTGTATTAGCTTTCTCATTGGTTATTGGCATTGAATGTCTAAGCAATTTCTCCAGGCACTCAGCAGGTATTCCAGGTAATCAGTAGTCTGTAAGATAGAGATTCCCACAGATGCTTTTCAGACAGAGCTGGACAGTTTCTAAGCACCAAAGTAGGTATACCCAGTGATCAAATTCTTTAAGACAATATCAAGTAAAATCTGAAGATATCATTGAAAGTGTAAATACCTGCAGGTGCTAACTGGCCCTACTGCCAGGCTCTTCTGCATTGCCATAACTTGTGTACTAGAAAAGACACCCATATTGGCTGAGTCTCAGTTGCAGTTGACTGAATGTGGAAAACTAGAGAAATGATCAAAGCAGGATTGACTTGTCTCCTATAAGTCATCTCTGTTCCCCTTACTGTACTTGCAAATGACCCCATTGCACTAAAATTTCCGAGTCTGAAAGAAAACCCATGGGCATCACTTACCACGCATGTGTCAAGACATGACCCCTTGCATAGCTTGGGGAGATAACTAGTCTTTCTTCCTGGTTTGGTATTCATGTTCCATAGGACAGGTGTTGGCAAG